AGGCACTCTGGCAGGGTTTAGACCCAACCCAGGGATGCATATGGCAGCCAACTAAAAAAGGAGGGGAACAGAAAAAAAGAGAGATGAGAGGGTGGAAGAACAAGGCACTAATCCACCCATGGGGACGGAATTGTTTATGTCTCCACAGGAATGGACGAGAGGGACCAGACATCATCCAGGAATGCCAAGCCTTGACGTCAACATAATGGCATGGAGCAGCGAACTACCAGAGAGAATGAAGGGGGCGGAGCCAAGGTGAGCTAGGTTAACCCCCGCCCAGGAATAGTGATGGGTCTGTCCAGACAAAATGGGAGCAAACTAAGAAGGCAAAACAGAGAGAGAGTGGACTTCACTACCAAGCCCCGAGGAGGACATCCCTGCTCAGAGCAGCCAATGCACAGAGAACTGATCCCCTCACTGGCCCACAATGCTACAGCAGTGGACAGACATTGCAGAAAGTGTGCCCAGTCTGCCCTACACAGAACAGGGCAAAATACAAAAGGAGGGCAACAGGGCAGCAAGGGGAGCAAAAGTAATGAAGTCCCCGAGGAATCCCGACAATACACTTCTGACTCAGGGGGCAGGGCTTGCCACCTCCTCGGACCCAACTGGACACATTCATAAGGGTCAGCAGACAGACCTGGAATTACTTATAGGCTTCTTTTTCTTTCTATTCTTTTTCTCTATGTCTACCTATATAAGACAGGCAGGATAAACAGTCCCAAGGAGAAAACAATGGGACCAGCGGTTCCAGGGGAACATGGGAAAGCAGGGGGCAAAGAGGGGAGCAGGGAGCCAACAAACTCAGGGACAAGGGAACAATGAGGGACCTAGAATCGATGGGAAGAGGGTGCAGAATGTTTGGTGGGGGTTGATCAAGTGCAACGTATGCAAGAGGAATTACTAAGAACCAAATGGGGGGCAAGCATGATAGTGGGACAAGAGGAAGGTGAAAGGAAATAGAGAAAAAAACTAGGAGGAAAATGCTATTTATCAAGGTATAGGTATAGGCATGTATATATGTAAATATATTAATTTATAATGCTAGGGATATAGGCCAATGTACATATATTTATGTGTTAAATATTAAGATAGCAGACAGACTTTGAGCCTCTATTTAAGATCTCCCTAAACACAAGGACACTTTGTTTTATTAACCTGGCACTCTGTGGTACTCACCTTCCCGATAGGATTGCTGAAGACAAAATAGGTGCGTAAGCAAATGTGGTGAAGACAGAGGATGATGCCTGGCTATCAAAAGATATAGGCTCTGGGGTCTTAAAGGCTTGAAGTTAAACAAGCAGCCATGTAGCAGGGAGACAACAAGGCCCAAATGGAAGATGCACACCAGCCTGTGTGATCACGAGGTGGTGATGGGATCAGGTATCAGGTATCAAAAGATCCAAAGCAAACTATTATACCGATGCTAATGTGGGTGGTTAGAGTGGAAACCCAAAGCCCATCTGTAGACAACTGGACATCCCCTCACAGAAGGGTCACAAGGAAAGGATGATTCAGCCAGAGTGGAGTATAGCACAGACAAAACACACAACATTCCTCTAGTTCTTGGATGCTTCCTCTCCCCGACTATCATGACCAGTTCTACCTTACAAACCCGGCTAGACCAGAGAACATACATTGGTACAGATAAGAGCTCTGGACACATGGAATCCAGGACAGGCAAATTCCTCAGGAACAGTAGTGGGAGTAGTGATACCATGATAGTGGTGGGACAAAGGTGGGAAGGGAAAGGGGAGAAAGGAGGAACTGATCACAAGTTGGTTATAACACACACACACACACACACACACACCCGAGAGGGATGAGCAATAGAAATGTGGTGAAGGGAGACAACGGACAATGTAAACTTGAAATTATAATAATATATAATTGATCAAAGATTCACAAATGATGGCAGCATATGTACAAGTGTTTGATACAATTGAATTATGGATTGTTATAAGATCTGGAAGAGCCCCCAATAAAATGATTAGTAAGATAAATAAGTAAATAAATAAAATGCATGCTAGGAAGCAATGACTATTGTTTGAAAGTCATGAGTTGTACTGGATGTAAATGCTGTGATTTGAATAAGTAAATTGCATTCATCCCTTCTGATACAGTCTGAAGTAATACGTCACCAAGAGAAAAGCAGTAAATAAACAGGGAGTTCCTGAGTGGTGTACATAGTTAAATGCTTGACTATTAACAATAAAAAAAAAGATGTTTCTAACCCACCATAAGTCCCCTGGAAGAAAGGCCTGATCATGGTCATCTGAAAGGTCACAGACTTAGAAAAACCCCTGGAGCAGTTCTATGCTGGAACACGTGGGTTTCCATGACTCGCAATGGACAAGATGGCAAAGGGTTTGGTGTGCTTTTGAAAATAAGCAGAACCGAGAGACTGTCTTTCCTTGTGGGACTTAGATGCTAGTGAAAAATAAACCAGATAATAAATATGTATGAGACATGTAAATCATATAACAAAGTGCTAAGAATAAAAGTGTGTGGAGAGAAGGGATAGAAGGGCACAGTGCACCATTTTGAATAGGAGATACTGATATAGTTAAAATTTATTGTGCCAACCTGGCCGATAAACACATGTTGGGTTAATTGAAGGGCGGGGAGATAAATGGCTCAGTGAGCCTCGCCTTTCTAGTTCTCAGGTCTCTTGCATTGTGATGGTTGGACCAGGGTGTAGCTGCCTTAGCCAGTTCCCTGCTTCAGCTGGCAAAGCTGACTTCCTGCAAGACATCCCTGAGGAGGAACCACATGGACCTACCCTGATGCAGCCCTGGGTGCTGGAGCAGCCACGTGGAGACCCCTGCC